TAGAACTGAAGTGTGGCATTGCTATAAATCACTTCATCCATAGTGCCCCAAATATGGAAATGTCAAGCAATGTTTTGAAATCCCACCACCCTTGATGAGTCAGCTTTTCAATATTATGAGAGTCAAAGCAGATACAATGCTCCTAAGTACTGTAAAGTTTTCAAGAGTCTAAAACCTGGTAGTCTAAAACCTAGCAGGGCACACACAGAAAATGTCTTTAGACTTCCCTACAAGAGATAAGCCATCTCTTTGCACTTCTGGACTTTTCTCCTGCATGAACGAGGTGACTTGGGTAATGAGAAACAAATTAGAATCCCGTGATATAGTCCGTCACTGAGGGAAGAATTCAGGGCAGAAACATAAGGCAGGAGCCTGGATGAATTAGCTGAGGCAGAGACCTGGGAGGAAGGCTGCTTACTCACTGATGCTTCCCTTGGTTTTGTAAGTTACCATCCTTATACAGCCCAGGTCAGCCTGCCCAGGGAGGGCGCCTCTGAATGCTTGTCTCCTTGGCATCATCTAGACTCATTCCTTACGTTTCATTCATTCTGCGTTAACATGGTTGCTCTGGACTAATTTCAACATCATCTCATATTCAAATGATTTTGTATCTATACTTTCCCCTCCTCCTGGGTGTTGAAAACCAGGGAGGTAAGTTGAGCTTATGTGTTTGCATATGCGTACGTGTGTGTGTATGTGTGTGTGTGTGTGTGTGTGTGTGTGTGTGTGTGTGTGTGTGAAATGAGTCTTTGGACAGACTTTGCTCACCTAGACCTGGACAGAATCAGTAGAGGGTCGTGAGACCAGCCTGGATCCAGATACAGTGGACCAACTAAGATAACAGAACTCAGTGAAAAAAAAATGGTTCTTATCTTCCATTTACTCCTGGCTCCATCCGTGGAGTGTAAGCTGACCACTCCTAGCCAGATCAACTGCCTTGTGAAAGCCCCAAGAAGCTTTGGGGAATTTTTGTTAACTTTGGTTTACACTGCAGGACAACACAGTTCCTCAGAGCAGGGAAGGTGAGGGAACTGGTCACTCTGCTTGCATGGTCAAGAAGCAGAGAGAGGAGGTGGTGAGGCTACCATGGCTTTCTCTTTTTAAATTCAGATTGACATCCCATACCAAGGATGACTCTTCCCACCATAATTACCCAGTTTAGAATGTCCCTCAGAAACATATAGAAGTCTGCCTCTTACGTGATTCCACATCCTGTTATGTGATCAGTCAGTAGTGATCATCACCAGTCTGGTATTCGTCAACTTGACACACATCCCTACAACGTTTAAGCCATAAATTTTCACTCTTTGTCTACATTGTCTCATGGACATTTTATACCATAAAGCTCATTCAAGTCAACTCTAATACTCCCTACAGCATTTAACACGACAGCATTGCTCAAAAGTCCCAAGTCTCTTCTGAGAACCAAGGCAATCTCTTAAATGTGAGCTCGCATAAAACAGAAAGGAAGCTACATAGTTTAGTTGCAGTATACAATGGCACAGAGGAGCACACAGGTATTGATAAGGACGAACGGGAACACATATAGGTTGATCTCATCTTAGCAAGACTGGAAGTCAGCAGAGAAGCACCAAAGTCTGCAGCTCCCTGTAGCCATATGGGACTCATGATGGAATAATCTGGGTTCAGTGGCCTTGGGTAATCATATTTTCCCCACTGTGATTACCAACAGCAAATATAACATCTCTCGTGGGCTCACTTTAACATATGCCTTCAGATTTCCTCAGTGGATGGTCATGGCCCATGGTCTCCAACATCCTGGAATCTTCAGGGAAACATGGGCTTCACATGACAGGAAAAGCGACCCCTGCACAGTTTGCCGGTTCACAGAGACTATCTCAAATTTTGAGGCACGCCTCAATGAATTCCTTTTCATTACATGCAGAATTCCAAATCTAACCTGCCCTTGTGTAGAGCAGGTGACAGTGGGCTGTCAGAGATCCTGATGACTGCTTCTAAGGGACTGGAGTAATGTCTAACATTTTAAGAATTTGGAAAATCATTGTGAAGAACAGTAATTTCAATCAGTAAGATACGAAAGAACTTAACATACAAGATGGGAATAGATTGAGCCAAGAGGTGATGTTATGGAGCAGTCCCAAGGCAAAATTGATTTGCTTCCTATGAGTTACTAAACAAAGAGGCATTTGTGGGCATCCACACAGCACAGTCTACTGTCACTGATGGTGGTGCATGCTAGAATTAAAAGGTAAGAGCTTACTTTAGACAACACCACATCTATGTTGCAAGACATGGAGAGATCAGGCTGGGGAAGGCCATGAGTACCATGGCGGTGATGGTCAAAGTGCTAATGTGGCTCTCTGCTGGCCAGCTGTGGGGACTGTGATGACAAATGCTGCTCTTCCGGTACTTAATGTACAGCCGTGCATGTTGGCACATACCTCTGGTCCCAGAAGTTGGGAGGCAGAAGCAGGCAGATCGCTATGAGATAAGGCCAGCCTGGTTTTCAAAGCTAGCTCCAGGCTAGCCAGGGCTCCATATTGAGACCCTGTCTCAAAAAAACAAAGTAGACAACACCAATACATAATAAAATACACAAAGACAAGCAAGACTAATCACTTGTCCACTAATGGTAGAACCATTATGGGTGCAACCAACTACAATTTCTTTGGCTTTAAGCCCAGGGAGGAACTGATGTTTGGCACCATAAGCCTGGCTGGAAATCTGTAGATGCCCTGGGCTTCACAGAGACACTGTTGTATTTGTTTCATTAAATAGATGTGAGGTGCCCATAAAGCAATGTTGTAAACATCTATGTTTCTACCTGTATATTACTGTACATTCTTCACAGTGTTCTGTATATGCTAGTAAAAACTTTCAAAGCTTAAACTGCTTAGAATAAATGACTATTTTGTGGGCTGGTGATTCAATGCTCAGAAAACAATGAAATTCATATACCTCCATCCAAGTTAGAGAACTGTGAAAAACAGAAAAGAAAACTTTGTAAGAGTATGAAGAAAAGGGTCCAGTGCTGGAAAAAGCTGTTTTCCTCTAGAGATGAAATGTCCATCAGCCTGCAGAGGCACAAATGGTTGTCATGAACTGCAACATAACTTAGACCCTAGTCATGGACCTGGAATGAGTCAAATAATGAACAAACAGCCGGCCTGTAGATATGGTGATGAGGCAGTTAACTCTTCCTGAGGGGAAGTCATAGGACCCTCACCTAGAATTCCAATACGACTTCCTCCTGCCCCTGAGCAGTGTGTGGCCCTGGGGATGATGCACTGCTCTATATAGAGGCAGAAAGGTAACTGAAGTCAAGACTCCTTTGAAATAGCTTTCCTGAGTCAGTAGCCTGGCTTGGAGAGACTTCTGAAAGATGCTGCCTGCTTTGAATCAATCATGCTCCTGTAAGTACCCCATTCACCATGGCTTCTCTAGCTGATGTAAGCAATGCATGCTTATACAACGGTGGGTTTTGTTACAACGTTTTTTTCTTTTGGTATTATCAGTGTCCCATCTGCGGTGAATGGTCATTGTTTGTACCTCATCCAGAGAAAAGTACAACAGAGAGCTGAGAACTCTTGTCGCTGGTCCACACTGCATCTGCACAAAGTCTCATATCAATGACTCTCAAGGGGGAATTTTCCTTCTCTTGGGGCCATGTCGCAATGTCTAGAGATTCTTTGTGTTATCCTAACTGAGCAGAGTTAGAAATGTGGAATACTACTAGTTTCTAGGTTGACCATACACTATTGAATGGCCTCATAACCAGTTTATGTGAGGAGAAAAACTGGACTCAGCAGGCTTAAACAAAAACAGAGGACACAAATTTGGGTGTGTGGTGAAGAGGGGTAACTGAGGGGAGGTAGGGAAGGAGTGGAGATGATCCAATGCCTTCTATGGAAGTCACGGAGAAGTGCCAGACAATCACCCAGCAGTGGAAGGGGAGGTGGGCAAGAGGCCCCAGCTCTTGCTGAGGATCTATTGCCAGTTAGTTGCTGGAGAAGGAGAATTAGTTTTCTTTAAGGGAGTGATATGTTGTAGGTTGACCAGACTCCAAAGACTGGACTCACACCCAAGAGCATCTGGGGAACACAAATTAGACTTGATTTGTTTTAAAATAATAAAGGATACCAAGTGTCAGGGTATAGTAACCTGGAGCTGGATATGGGGAAGGGGCTTGAATATGATCAAGGTATATTGTATGAACTTCATGAAGAATCAATACTTTTTAAAGTCTAATAATAACAAAGTTTTAAAATATTGTGAATATCCTTTGAATAATAAATTGAAGGAATGTATCTATTCGTATAATGAATAAAATAAATTGGAAAACAATTATTATTTTGTAAAATATAAACTCTGCCATAATCTGAGAATATTATTTTTTCTCTGGCAGCTAAAGATTGAGGTTACTTTGTGAATATACAATGTAGGAGTATATTTAGTTGTATAGAATATTGGAGTTTAGGTATTTTTACATGTACAAATTTCCACCAGTTCCATAGTTTTATGTAAAATATTTTCCAATACTTTTATTAAAGGTCTTGTGGAACACTGGTTTCACATTTTACAGCAGAAATTCATTCAGACTAGTGTCACTAATTTTAAACAGCTGTGTCTTTGATACACACGTGATCTTTAATTCTCTTGGGAGTGTGAATTTATGATATGTTACAGTTCCACGTATGTCTATCTGATGAAAAGTAGATTGATGACGAACTCACCACTGATCACTGACAAAAATTGCAGTGTTTAAAACTATGACTTAAATGGACTTAGTGGAGCATGATTATTCCTCCGCCTGACTAACAGTACTCAGTTGTGGAAAGGAGGGGCACTAGGGACAGGCACAGCTCCTACAGATAGTGATTCCTCATGACCTCAGAACCCATCTCGGACTCTTCTTGTGTTTAGCAGGGACACTGCTGCTGTTGCTGGTGTCAAACTTGCTACTGGGAAAGAATACGGCCTCTGGTCAAGTGTGTGACATGTGGGAAAGCAGCTGCGAAATGTCCTTGCAAGACCACTTTAGGCAGGCAGTCAATGTGTCTCAGGAAATCAAGAATCAAGCGACAGATTTGTACACTCTGTTTGTAAGTAACCCACTGACATCCTGCTTCTTTCCAAAGTGGGCCTTCAGGCCAGTGGTTTTGGTACTAGAGCTCAAAGGAGAGAGCATCCTGGACCAAACATCAAATGACATGCCCTCACAGGAGAAGAAAAGAGAAGTACGGAAAAGTAGAACAGGAGACTAGGACAGTTGAAGAAATAGAGATTATTGATACATTGTTTTTTGCTCACTTTTTAACTTTGATTTTAATTTTCTCTTCTGACATAAAGTCCTGTAAAGTATGAGTAAGAAAGAGTGTGAGTCTCTGTTCCTTTGGGTAGAAGTCGGTCTTTGTCGGCATTCTCCACTTAGTACAGCCTTGACATCAGAAAGGAGACCAGCATTCCAGCAAACTGGAGAGGAAAACCATTACTTATCAATGTCACCAAATATCTGGAATAATTTTGAGGAATTCTAAGATGTGTGTCTATAATTACAATAAAGAATCCATCTTAGAAACAGAAATAGGCCTTCTCTTCGTGATGGAGTCATTTCGAAGGCTGCGTGTAAAAGAGGTAACATTAGATGAGGGCTTCGTCAGGGCATGTGAGAATGTGACTCCCAGTTTATGGTAAATACATATACTTAACCTACGGCCTACTCGCCAGTTTTTTCTGCCATTGCCCATCCAATTGGGCCCTACTTGCATATTCAACACCATCCCAGCAATTCCCTCAAACTACTGCAATTTCCTCAATAGAAATTTTAAGTAGCAAATATTTTAAATGATAAATATACCCACTAAATATATTGAAGTCAGCATAATAGTTAGATAATAACATTGATTAATAAGTACATTATAGATCTTCTTTAGGGGACTGACTCTATATAAGCTGAATAGAATCCAGAGAATGAACTTGCACCGAGGGACACCTGGATAGAAATGTTTGAACAGATAGGACTTAACATATATGAGAGAGTCCTTGAAATCTGGTGGGGGTTATGGAGATAGGGAAGGAGGAGATGGTCTAAATTTGATTAAGGCGATTGTGTTATATGAAATGTACAAAAACTCAATAACAATTGGAGAAGAATATAACA